AACGGAAGTGGTTTGACGTGATTCGGACGTCCGGTTGAGAAAATAAAATTTCAAAGTGTTCTTGAGAATTTCATTTGATTTGGTGCTAAATTTATAGTTCTAGATGTTATTTTGGTGATTTGATCGCACGAACAAGTTCGTATGATATTTTTAGACTTGTGTGCAGGTTTGGTTTGGAGCCCCGAGGGTTCGCGTGAGTTTCGGATAGGCTACGGAGTGTTTTAAACTTAGAAATCATAGCTGGTGTGCTTCAGGTCTGCAGACTTTGCATTTGTGAGGTCTGGCTCGCAAATGCGAGTCTCGCATTTGCGAGCAGTGGGGCTGGGAGGGGACCTTCGCAATTGCGAAGTTCAAGATCGCAATTGCGATCATTACTGGCCGTATTTGCGAACAATTATTTGCATTTGCGAAGACAGCAGGTCTGGGGAAGCTTCGCATTTGCAAAGAGTTTCTCGCAATTGCGGGGTTCGCAATTGCGAACCCCTGGTCGTATTTGCGACATCCGCAACTGTGTAAACCTAACTTAGACGGGATTTTTGCTCATTTCTCCAAATTTTCAAAACAAGAAACCCTCTACGCGATTTTCCAAAGACCATTTCTTCCCCAAATCATAGGTAAGTGATTCTTAACTAGTATCTTTCACTTCATTTTACAAGATTTCAACTAAAAATCTAAGATTCTCATAGTGAAATTGGGAGCTTTTGGGTAGAAACTAGGGAGTTGATAAATTGGGGATTTAGTCCTCAAATTGAGGTCGGTTTCCAAAACCAATTGTATATCCGGGCTCGGGGGTGGATGCGTTACCGGGTTTTGGTCCGAATTTCGGGTTTGGACCAAGCAGGTCCGGGTGTTAACTTTTGTTGACTTTTTCAATAATGGCCTAAATTGAATTCTTATCAATTGTGGGTGATTCCTAAGGTTTATTTTGAAATATTTGGTTGGTAATTTGCAAGATATAGTTGGTTCGGAGGCGTGTTTGAAAGGCAAAGCTGTGATTGAGCTTTGAGTGGCCTTTGGAGCGAGGTATGTGTTGTGTCTAACCTTGACTTGAGGGAATTAGGAACCCTCGGACTTTGTGTTATGTGAATTCCATGTGAGCGGCGTATATGCCAGGTAACGCGTGCTTATACGCCGCAGAATTATCTGTTTTCCCTGATTTATCGCTTTTCCCTAATTGTTTTCCCTCCATCTTAATTGTTACATACTATATATGCTTTCCATGCTTAATTGCTACGTGTTGATCACTCTTTCCTTTCTGTTAACCATGTTAGCTCTCTTCATAGATCATCCAATCCCCGCTATTTGCTTAATTTTACTTATTTGTACCTTTTAACTGTGAATTGCTGGTTTGGTCTTGCTGTGTAGTATTATTTGTGTAGATTCTATTTTGAACAAGGTTCCTTTTCTTGGTTCAGTTTGGTATTTATTTATCGTAAAGGCCCTGTGATTTAGCCTATTGATTTGATTGTGTACATTGAATGTTGGTACTGATATGGTGGGATCTGGCTGCACGCCGCAGCAGGTGTAATAAGTGCGGATTGATACGGAGGAATAAGGGTGAATATGTGTATACGGTGGGATCGGGTTGCACGCCGCAACAGGTGGAATAAGGGTGGATTGATATGGTGAAATAAGGGTGAATTACGATATTGATAAATTATATATAGTGGGATCGGGTTGCACACCGCAACGTGTGTGTGTGTGTGTGTGTGGTGATATCGGGTTGCGCGCCACAAGAACCTATATGTTTCTATTCCTTGAGTTGCGTTGTTTTCCGGTATTTTTATTTGAGCTGGTAGAGATTGGTAAATTTTGGACGACTTTGGTTTATTTTCGAGGCTGTGGTTATCATTCTTGTTGGTTGTTTAATTCTGTACCGTATTTCGATTATTCTGTCTTTATTATAGATTGCATACAGATTATATTGTAGGTGACCTACCTTAGCCTCGTCACTACTTCGTCGAGGTTAGGCTCGGCACTTACCAGTATGGGGTCAGTTGTACTGATACTGCACCCTGCACACTGTGCAGATTTATGAGACGATCCCGGGAGCGGCTAATAGAGAGCTCGGATCGAATATTCGCGGAGACTTGAGGTACGGCTGTTCAGCGCCTGCAACTCCTGGAGTCTCCATCCTCTGTTTATTTAGCTGTGACCTTTCATTCGAACAGCTTGTTATTTATTTCAGACCCTTATGTGTATTACTCTAGTAGTTAGTATACTCGTGACACCAGGTTCAGGGAAATTGTAATAAACATTTGGCTAGTTCAACTTCCGCATTGTTACTTTAAATTTATTTAGTTATCTTAGTTCTTCTTTAATATCTATTTTAAACTGTTAAAAAGAGTAGATTGTTCTGTTGTTGGCTTGCCTAGCAAGTGTAATGTTAGGCGTCATCACGGTCCCGATGGTGGAAAATTCGGGTCGTGACAAACAGGAAAAAAGGTTTGTCTTCTCTTGATATGCGTAAAGTGACAAGTAAAAATAAAAATCTATTTTTAGTATACATGCCAAGTAAAAGTGAACGGAGGGAGTTTATGATACCAATCAATGCTTACTAAATGGAGTCATATGCAATCACTTTCTAAATGATCTCAGAGGCGAAGCCGGAATTTGAAGTTTATGAGCTCTAAATTTATCACAAAACTCATAGCTCGACTTAGTTACTGGGTCCGCAATTAAACATGTATAAATATTACATATTTAATGAATTTCTAAGTATGAATACAAAATTTGAGTAAAAGTGGCTAAGTTCGGCCGAACTCTGCACATTATATACTAGATCCGCCTGTGAGTGATCTGGTTGGATAAATATTTTTTACACATACATATAATTAACTTAAACACATTTCTAAGAAGCAAAGGAAAAATAAGTGTAGAGAGAGGGAGAAAGCAAGAACAAATTGCAAGCAATGAGCTAGGTTGAACAACCGACAAGTCTTTGAATCTGGTTCATATATTATTTCTACTAGTTAATACTTAAGTCCAAACAAGTCTTGAAAATAAGATACAGTATCCAGAATTTTGTAAAATTATTATTATAGTGGTCCATTGACCTTTGTCAAGTAATGTCAAATTATTTTGTCTGTATTTTGTAGGCAGATATGGTACAATTATTCATTGTTTCCAATTTATACACGTTTCAGGAATGTGGGTTTTTCTTTCTTTTTTTCCAATTGCTTTATCCTATTATAAATCTGGAGTAAAGGTGATGATGGACCCTTCTGTAGGTAAAAGTTGACCCCATAAAATCCAAATATATTTTATTTGTAGATATCATATCATATAATAGCAGACTTGAAAAGTAAGAGATGCTGTTTTAACCTATAATATCTCCTTCCTATAAAGCTTCAAAATGTTTATAGGCCATTCGTTTTATTTTATATGACAGTATTGATTAAGTACGATATTTAACAAAGTAAATACGTGAGGATCTATCGGAAATAACTTCTTTCTTTATTTAGGGACAAATATAGTATTCATTTGACGGGTTTAATTAAATCCATTACTTTCCATGCGGAATATAAATTGATGTGTAAACATTTAGTAAAACTATAAAAATAGTAGATATGAATCTATAACTTTAAATATATAATGAGTTTAAATTTTAAAAATATTAAAAATTGAGCCAATATAATTTAAATCTTAAATCTGCCTCTATCTCTAGCATCACAAGGTAGAGAAGGTATGCGTACACTCTACGGGGGCGGATCCAGCACATTAACTATCAATTCCCGTGAACGCTGTAACTTTTGTCAAGATCCTGTCTTTATAATAAAAAATCCATTAAATGTATAAGAATATTTAGCTTGGAACTCACTCTGTAAATCCAGTTATTATTATATGTTAACTTGAGATTTCTTTAGAAACCCATAAACTTAAAATTTTGGATCCGCCTCTGCGCTCTACCCTTTCTAAACATCACTTGTGAGATTATAGTGGGTTTATTTTTGTTATTGTTATAGTTGTTGTATTAACGTCAGAATTTATGATCCTATTTCATGACGTTTTTATATCTATAAAAGAGTATCATTAAAAATAAAATAAAAGTATAATGTTAATAATTTTTGAAATATAAAAAAGTGAAACTTCCGACATATTTGAAGGAATAAACAAACAAATTTAAAAGCCAGAAGAATGAGAAGAAGAAGAAAGAAATCTAGTTATGTTTGAATTACTTGAAACAATTATTTTTCAATTTGTTAAGAGATAATTGATATAGGCTTTTTATTTTGGTGTGTCAGATATTAAAATCCTAAAGGGATAATGAAACAGAAAAGAAGTTCATAGGATATCCTTCCTTTGTATTCTTGAATCCTGCATTTAAAAAGACCAACCAAAATACAAGTATTTCGACCCTTTCCCCCAATCTGTATTAAATTGTTTGAATTGACAACTCTTTTATTGTAGAAATAAAGTGCTCTTTAAGATGACAAGGAAGATTAATTTGTCTCATTTGTCTAGTGGAATTTTATTTATTAGAAGAGTTTTCATCTCGTTAGTTAGTACTAAAAGTTGAACTAATTAAATACATAAAAATCATGCCTTGATAAACGATACTATTACTAGCTAGTGGATGCCGTGCAGTGGATGAACCTGCTTTTCCCTTAACCAAAGGTTTCGAGTTCGAGCCCTGGGTATGGAAAAATCCTTGGTAGGGAGCGTTCCCCCGAATGGGGCCCTACGCGGCGCGAATCCGAATATAGTCGGGCTCCAATGCGTGTAGTGGACACCGAGTGGGAAACCAAAAAAAAAAACCAATATTTCTTGCTAGTTGAAAATTTCGCATGTCTATTTTAAAATTTTAATATGTTTAAAATTTAAAGGGATTGAGGATTGTATCAAATCTACAAAAATACTTTCTTCTTGAGAATTAGCAAAAATAATTGAAGTTAGAGATGGAGAATATATCGAGGTGTAACCTTGATCCTGAAAATTCATTTATTATTTACGTAGGAACCAAAAAGGGTGAGAATACATCCATTGTACTAATCACTTAATAATTAAATTTAGTTTTAAATAGAGGAGAAATAATTAGGAGTACAAGTAATTAGGTAACTGTAATTGGTCCAATATTATTTCTTGGAGCTGAGAGACTTAGCTCCAAATCAAGAGCTCCAAATGAAGAAATTGACTTATTTGGCACTGAATAAATCTCTTCAGGTTGTTGAGGATATTCACTCCTTTGATTATCTTTGGCAATTGGCATATCTTCTCCAAACGAATTTAAGTCTAATAATGATGCTCTAATTTCTTGACAATCTTTTTTTGTTAAGATTGTTTTGTCAAGACAATTTCCAAAATAATCTGCATGCTTGAACTTCATGGTTATGGCACCAACATGCATCTTGTTGTTGCTCTTTGCCTATCATGTTTATAAATAAGAGTTAAGTCTTGTACTGACAAATAATAATTACGTCTCAATCCGAAATAAATTATGATCGGCTATATGAATTTTCACTGACCACATTACTTCAGTTAAACTCATTCCATGCCAATATTATGCAAAAATTTCTATAAAGTCATCTCTCACTACAACAACAACATATCCAGTATTATCTCACACCGCGGAGTCTGGGGAGGATAGTGTGTACGCAGACCTTACCCTTACCTTGTGAAGATAGAGAGGTTGTTTCCAATAGACCATCAGTTCAGGAAAAGTCATCTATCATTATGTTGTAAAAAAATTATTTACATGATCAGGTCACTTATAAGTCAATTACAAGTAAGTTTCTATGATGAAAATTTATTAGTAAACTCGTAAACTGCAACGAGCTAAAATACACTAATTTTGTAAGAAAATTAGTGTATGTAAATTAAATCTTATGTTGCTCGAATTTTTCTAAAATAACGTTGCACTTATGTAAGGTGCTTCAAAGTTCAAATTAAATGCATTATTGCTTGAGAATATCATACACAAGTATGACGGTGATTTTTGAAAGATCCAAGTAACATAGCTTAAATCCTATATAAATAATACGTCAATAGATAAGGAAATGTAAAATTATGGATAAAAATAGTTGGTGTCATTAATCCAAAATATTGACCATGTCAAAGAGGCTGGAACGTCGTTTCTTTTTGTTGAGACTTGATTGTCTTAGAAAATACTTTTGAGCATGACTTGCAACTTGAGTTGGTGTCCTTGTTATCACAAATTTTCTTGAAATTCCTCTCCAATCTCCTTTTCCTAGCTTTTCTAGTCCAATTAAGAATTTTCTGTGTTCCTCCTCTGTCCATGGAACTCCTGTTCATCCAATATAAATAAGTATCAATAATCACATTATCACTATATGAATCATCATTGTCATTTCGTTCTTATAAATAGATCTCGATTCAATGTGAATTTGCTCATATTGCCGATCCAAATATAAGAAAGGTGGGTCATGATAGATTGACAGCCAACCTAAAACTAGTCAATTTATGAAAAATTCTCACGGTTCAGAAAAGATGCATGTTTTTGTGACTCTACGCAAATAGGAAGAACACGAGTGAAAGCTGATGATTCTGGTGGGCTATGCAAGGGTGTTCAAATTAAAATCTATTTTTTATCAGTAACAAGTAATATCTTACCCTATACATAGTAAAAATTTTGGCGAAGAGCGTTCAGTTGACCAAAGAAAATATTTTGGATATGAGCTTAATTTTGAACCAAAGGCAGATAAAATTACAACTATGAAAGTATTACATACCTTTCTTTCTTTCCTCAACACGAACTATAAGACCATCAGAGAGATAACCATTATTAATTGAAGTACTTTTTTCACAACTTTCATTAACAGAAAGAGAAGGAGATAAACAATCCAAACTAAGACTTTTCTTCAAGTGAATAGGAGAAGATGAAGATGAAGCATTAGAGATGTCAAGTTGCACTCCAAAAAGCCTTAATCCACCAATAAAACTACCATTACTAGCACATTTCAATGTGCTACAAGTTCTTGAATTGTGACCAGTGTTACCACAATGTGAACATTTTCTCTCCATTTTCATCGGACAAAACGGCTCGTCTTCGGTTTTGTTCCTCAGAAAAACGTGTGTTTTTAAAAATTTATCAACACCAAAGACTCAAAATCCACAATTTT